ATGAACAAAAGCACACTTGATGTAAAGTTTGATATTTAAGTCTGATTTGTGGGTGAGGCAGTTGCTAGTTGTCGAGATTCTTTTATCCTTAGAAGTGTATAAGAAATATGAAGACAAGGTTAAAAAGTCAAAGACACATTTTGAAAAGAATCCTCAGAATCAAGTGATACACTATCCTGCACGTATTAACGTTTACTCGCAGTTTACAACATACAAAAGCAAATTTAGTCACTGGGAATAGTTACTAGTCACCTTAAACTCTTGCTCATATCCAGTCTTTTTGGATGGTTTATGCACCATGGCAAGCTTGCTTATTGTAATTCGTAGGTCCTGAGGGACAATCTCTGTATTTCCACATACCAAAACTTCCATCACTGCTTGATGCAAGAAAACATACTGGTCCTATTCAAAAACAAAGTCAATACCATTACTGTTAAGATGGACAGCTTTTGATAGAGCCAAATTTAAGAAATTCCTTATCGTCAAAATAAATCACCTGCGCTTATCAAACTCTGTATCTTAATTACCAACAAAAACGTGACCTTTCCTTGGCGTTGTTTTAAGACAAAAGAACTCTTCTGAAACAGGATGTCGACCAAATCTATCCATATATCAGTCGAATTCTCAGGTGACTAATACCCCATTTACACCAAAGCTTTAACACGTTTTAAAGCTGACTCGTTGAATATGGTTATTTTACATTACTTAAGACGTTTTCTAAACAACCACTTGACAAGAGTGGAATTGCCCATTGTTGTTACCAGCCTCCTGCCTCCTGCCCTCGGTTTCTATTTCATATGAGCTGAGAAGGCAGAGGAGGTTTGCCACGCCTCTTGTAAATACAAATAGATTTGGAAATTCATTCATTGCTAAGAGTGCGAGGGAAGCATTTAAGTGATTTTTAAGAGTAGTCGTCTGTAATTTTATTATAGTAGTAGTTATAGATCATTTATCATTTCTTACTGTCTTGTAAAGAGACGCAATTCAGTTTTTTTTTTTTAACTGCAATGTTTTTCTTAATAAATAGAGTCTACAGTTGTATTCTTTTTTTCATAAGTCCTGAGCTTTACAAACATTTTTTATTAAACTTGTAATTTTTAGACATATATCAATTCGGATAACGTCATCTGGAATGACAATATTTTCTACACTTGTGTAGAAATGGCGGATTCGAAGAGATAAACTCTGGAATCATTTGAGCGTCATGCAAAAACATTACTGGCCTTTGACGGTCATCATAAAGACCAGGCTTGGGTTCTTAAGACACCGTATCAGTTTCACTATGATCATGACATATATTCTTCTTAAAGATGTACGGGGGAAGAATTACTAGGAATTATGCTGCTGTTACTCTCATGGAAAAAAGTTGAATTTGTTAGCTTACATCTTTCTGTATCATTTGAGGACGAGATTTACGCATGACTTGCACGTAATTCTGTATGAACACAGTTTTAATCTTCTCAGCACTCTCCAGCATGGCGTCGATAGCAATGTATGTGCCAGTTCGACCAACACCAGCACTACAAAAGAGTACCAATAAAAAAAGGTTAATAATTAAAGAAGAGGAGTGTAGAAATTGAGAATTCTCAAAGGCTGGGAAAACGGCAGGAAAACTAAGATAACATACTAGGAATTCAGTGAAAGTCGGAAATCTGACTTTTGAAGTACCAAACCAGAATAGAAACAAACTTTGTGGGTATACCTATAGGCTTCGCTTCTGGCAGGTTTTACTCGAGTTTACAATTTTTGACGTCATTTGTATGATCAAATAAGACTATTGAGAGCAGATATCTGAGGTTCATTTATTAACTACACTCATTAAAAGAGAGCCCTACACTTACACATGTAATTCTCACACTTCAGAGAGTTCAACTCGTTTAATTCGAGTTCTCATAGGTTCCTTGTGACGTTAATCTTTCTTCTGATTAGCTACTGTGATTACTATGGACACAATAGGGAGCTTTAGCAACGAGAGCGGCAACGGCAACGAGAACGGCAGAAAACAATAGGCTTAATGAGCAAATTG